CGTTAATAACCTTTAAGATGTTGTGTACAAAGTTCACTGCAGAGACTGCGACAAGGTATACACCGGAAAGACCAACCGCAAATTGAACATCAGGAAAAAAGAGCACCTTCCTGCGGTCTGCCATGGACAGGCTGACAATTCCAGTATTGCACAACATGCGATTACTGAAGGGCATCAGCCAGATCAACGTGTCTGTTATAGACAAAAACCATTCTAGATTAGGTCTGCTGAAAAATGAACCTTTGCATATACTGGCAACGATACACCGGATGTGCAACGAATACACATCTACTACGATAACCAGCGAAAGCTGGGAGACGACAATTGAAAAACTGATATGGTGAATCGTATTTACACAACAATGATCCAATTGTTTTAATGAGAACTTCACATTGTTTGTTGTTTAACATCCTGACCAGTCAGTTAAATATCATTCCGACCGTAAAGTACTGTTTGCTTGTTGGACATAAGTCTTCAAACAGTTATTTGTATTGAGCCTATCCCTAACGATGCTACGGTCTATGTAACGAAACGCAACAGCAATAAACTGCTGCACCATGTTGTATTTTGTGTCCTGAATCATGAACCGCTCAAATACTTATCTATATTACCATGGGCCCAGAATCAAAAATCTGAAGTATTATTTACTCTGATCGGTCTGATTTCGGTAAATCCTGTCTCCTATTTCGTGGAGTAATCACTGCTGCAGTATTGCAATCGTCTAATACTGTCAGTTCTTTCATACAGTGTGAAAACAAGCGCGCCAATATCCTGGTAAATTCTTCTCCTCCTGATTCCACGAGTTCTCCTGGAATGCCATCTTCGTCAGAGGTCCTTCCTCGATTCGCCTATTTTAACTGCATGTCGCAGTCGCACTTCTTCTGGCAAGGAAATGGCAAGTTCGCCAGACTCATTCGCATCTTCGGTTTCCTGACTGTCATCTAAACTGTCGCTGTCTTCATCTTTGAACAGTTTTCCAGAGAAATCTTCCACCCGTCTTATAATCCCTGATGACAATCTCATCTTCTGCTGTGAAAACTTGTCGTCTCTCGACAGTCAATCGTCGATTTAATTTCTTCATGCTTCAGTTGTTATCAAAAGTTATTTTAACCAATCTGCAGTTGAATGCTCATACATGTTCTTTGATTCGTTTATTTAAAGTTTTATAAACTTCCACGTATTCGATCGTTGATTTTTATCTGTTCTCGTCATCATTTTACTTCGTTTAATCTTGTGTTCTTTCGTTTGTCTCGTGATTTTATGGTCAACTTTCTCTGTGCTTGTTCTGGAAATAATTTTTGCCATCTGTGATATATTACGTTGATGTCTACTGATTCTCCTGCTCTTTCTTCCTACTTTCCGTAAAAAACGCAAACTCAGCTATTTCATGTCCTTGAATCGGTTATATTTCAGTGAGAATAGCGGGAGGTACTTCCACGTTGAGTATCTGCGTCTCGTACTAAGCAGTTTTCTTGTTTTCAACGCTGAGTCTAGGAGTACTTCGCATCTGATGAGCATCAACGCTTCCTGCAGTCAGCTCCAGATTACCACTGCCTAATTGTCTGACCGTTACAGGATTCATGACAAGTCATTACGATAAATGATACTTCGTTTTGGCGTGCAGTTTTTGCTTTAATCGTTGTTCACTTCCTTTGACGTGGATGCCAAGAACAACTTGAAGACTACGCAAAAGGAGCACGGCTGTAGCTAATGTGTATCCACGATTAGGACGCCCTAGAAAGTCCCGGGGTGGGCTTTGATCCATAAAATCAAGGACAGTTAAGATCTAGGGAACCAAAAGAAAAAATTTCTTGCAAGCAGAAGGTAACGAATATTTTCTTCATCCTACATTGTTTCAAACATTCTATACAAGCAAAGTAAAAAAGAAACATCTGCAAAAACATGGAATTTGTTCAGAGATGTACTAGGAACAAATCAAGTATATTTTATAATATGAGTAACAAATCATTCATTTCACAAGAGATGGCGGTCTGAACAAGAAACTGCATAGATACAACAACCTTAAAAGCCTTCTTTACAGGAGCAAAAAGATGGTTCAGAATACAATGAAAATATAAAGCCAAGTGATGCAGCAGAACAACAAAATTGTATGGTCGAATGCTGCGAGAAAAGAAATAATACGAAACTAGCCAATTTAAAATCGTTGAAGCTAAAACAGGAAAAGAGATCATGGATTAAAGAAAAACTCCACCATGGCCGGTCCTGAGCCCGGATGAGAAAGGAGGAGGGATGGAGACCGTGGCAAATCTCCGTAAAATTCAGCCACCTGCCACTCATGGTATGGACGCCATCGAAAATTATACCGGCTC